CTTACTTTCTCTCTCTCCCTCTCTCTCTCTCTCCCCACCCATCTCTGGTCAAATTAAAATAAACAAATAAAATTAATTAAAATAATTCTTTATTAAAAAAAAATGAAGTGTTACTTGTCTATTAGTTAGCCCATAATTGTAGAATGACAGGTAGGAGCTTCACCTAGACACAAAGATACCTGAACAAAGCAGTACAGAGCATGAGCTTGAAGAGCTCAGACCCTAAAGCTAGGTATCTGTGGTTAAAATTCCCAGCTTTTACAGTTTCCGAATGTGTGGTGGGCAGGTGGCGTGGTGGTTAAGGGCTCTGGGTCCCCACATGGTTGACTGCAGTTTGAGTGCCAGACCTGGCAGCTTGCTTTTTCACTCTCCCTCTCTTGCTCTCTCTGTGATCAAATTATGATAAGTAAATAAAGTTAAATAAAATAAAATAATTATTTAAAAAAATGTGTGGTCTAGGTCAGGTACTTAATCTTTGTGTACCTCAATTTCTTGTGAGAATTAATAAGTATTATATGATATATGAGAGGACTTCAAAATGTTCATGGAAAATTAAAACTACAGTACAAGTTTTGGGCTGGCCTGTGGCCTAGTAGATAGAGAAGCTGAAACACACATGGCCAACTACATAGTTTGAGCCCCAAACCTGGTCACTTAAAAATCAGGCACATGTGCATGTGCCCCAAATCCCAACAGAATGGAGAAATAGAGAAAGTGTAGTGTGACTACACCCCACTAGGTGATACTTTCTCCCTCTCCCTCTTTCTCCGTTGAGCACATGCATCCTTTGACAATCTTTTTTTTTTTAGATTTTTACCACAGAGCTGAAAGAGACAGAGGAAAGAAAGTAAGAAATAATCATCCCCCAGGGAAAACAGCCACACTGCAATCCCTTCTCCGTTCTCCTCTAGGAGAATGGAGATTGGGGGCATGCACCAAGTGTGTTTTTCAAGCCACCAAAACTCAAAACAGAGTCAGCCATGTGGGATCCAGTGCCTTAACCATCACACCATCTACTGGTCTCCTCTTTGGCAATCTTTAAAAAGATAATTATAAAATAAATTAGAAGAAAAATGACCAGCCAGTGGCCTGGTTGTTACGGCAGCTGGTTCCCACATGGCCTATTACCCTATTTTGAGTCCTAGACCCAGTGGCTTGAAAGGTTTACACACCAAGGGGACCAGCAGATGGTATAATGCTTATGTTGCTGGACTCTCAGGTAGTTATTGGGGTTCAAGTTCCAGACCCAGTGGCTTAAAACTCACACTGGCCCGTGTGTATGCGTGCCCAAGATCATGAGAGAAGGGAGGAGAAGGAACTGCAACATGGCCATCCCCCTGAAGGCAGATTTCTCACTTTCTGTCTGTCTCTGTGGTGAGCACACATGCCCTAGAGCAAAAAACAAAACAAACCTAAAAAAAACACGGGGACCAGCAGTTAGCGTAATGGCTATGTTGCTGGACTCCCACATAGTCGACCGCGGTTCGAGTCCTGGACCCGGTGGTTTAAACTCACGCCGAGCGCATGTGCGTGCGTGCGTGCGTGCGTGCCCAAGATCCCGAGAGGAGAATGGAGAAGGGATTGCGGCATGGCCATCCCTCCTGGTGGGTAATTTCTCACTTTCTATCTCTCTGTCTCTCTCTGTCTGTCTGGCAAGTGCACGCGCCCTATTGCAAAAACTTCTCAAAAAAAAAAAAAACCAAACCAAACCAAAAAAAAACCCATGCCAGGAACATGTGCATACATGTCGAAAATCCTAAAAGAATGTTGGAGAAGGGAATACAGTGTGGTCAATCCCCCTGAGGAATACCTTCTCACTTTCTCTGTCTCTCTCTCTCTAGTGAATGCATGGACCCATGGCAATTTTTTTTAAAAAAAAAAAAAAGAAGAGGGGTGGGGGGCTGGGGGAACAGCAGATGGTGTGCGGGTTGAGGTACTGAACTCCCACATGGCAGATCATGGCTTGAGTCCAGATCTGGTGGTTTTCTTTCTCTTTTTCTCGCTCTCTCTCTCTCTGGGGAGCACACAAGCCCTATAGCAAGTTTTAAAAAATAATAATAAATACAATTAAATAAATAATTCTTTTAAAAATTTTTAAAGAACATAATAAGGTACAAGTTTATTTTGGTATAAGAAACTTTGAAATTCAAGTACAGTTTTTTTCATATGTGTTTTCCACGATATTTCTGAAGACCTTCGTAACATGAAGTGTTTAGACCAGAGCTGGGAACCCAACAAGCACTAAATTTTTTGAGTATATATAGTCATCATCAATGGTCTCAATAATGGGCAGGGGAGAGGGGACATTTCATCTTCAAATGCACATAGTGTGAGTCTGCCCTGAAACTATTAATGCAAAGGTGAGTTTCTAGCATTTCCCCAGCCAATATCTCCCTTCCTCTGAAAACTCTTCCCAGTCAGTCTCTGTTGGTCACCTGGTGTGAATTGTGGCAAAGGGGAACATCTTCTATCAACTTCAGGGAGAAGCAAAGACAGTGACGACTTACCAGAAGAGATGATGAAACTGATTCACAGAACAAAATGGAAAAAGGAGGAGGGAGGCAGAAAAACATAAAGATAAAAAAGCATTGGTTTTCATAACATTCCATTTCCTGGCTTCATTCCAACCCGAGCACTGACTGCCCTTTCTGTCCTATACCAGAAAGTAAATTCTTCACTTTATTAAGTTCTGATCAAAACAGTTTATAAACATTTAATACAAATCCCTAGAAAAGTCTTCATCAATGCCACCAAAAATAAATAAATAACCTTGGAAAACTTGTGTCTTTTTTTTTTTTTAAGGAAAAAACTAAGACAATATTGCAGATAAAAATGAATGAGTTCAGTCTTCTCAATCCATTGTAAACCTAACTCATGAATTTACAGCTCAGGCCTGGCTGTTTCAAAAGCTCAACAGGTGTTAAAAACTATCAACTGGGGATTTGAGCCACTAAACCATAGACTTGCAAATATGAACACCCTTTTCCTACTACTGTAGTTCTCTGTATAAACTGGTATGGGGCATGATGTTAATATGCTTTTTTCTCTATTGGAAACTAAAAAACATAATTCTTTCTCAAACAGCAGGAGAGAAAATGGCAGGCATTGGGCAAACTGCATCATATTCCTTTAGAGAAGAAGATATATTTATTCTCTTTTGAAGTCCAAATAAAAATCCTATCCCTCACCGAAAAATAATAAACATACAAAACCGAATGTTTTCCTGGATTCCTTTTCGTTCCTATTCCAAAAAGCAAGCTAACATCACAAGTCCATGTTGTGCAAACTGGCTGCAGTTAACTTAATTTCAAGTTCACACTCATTTCTACTCTAAAATACTTTTTAAAAACTCAGGAAATATCCTAAAATATCCCAGGTGTGCAGCCAGTAAGTCGGTGAGCCATACAAAAATCAATCCAGCTCCTTTATCACACTTAGTTTTGTTTTAGTTAAGGACTCTGAAGGTTATCAGTCTGAAGGAGTAAAATCTTTTTCGTTCTACCCTCACCGTCTCCCCACTTCCAACCTCTACTTATACAAAGCTATCAACAGTAAAGTTATGACCTTGGTTCTAAGACTACAAAGAAATTTTGCTTTTCCTCAAGAGCAAAAGGAGTGCACAGACACACAAACAACATGACAGCACGGACTTTGCAGATGTCTTACACTAGCACTAAGGAAACAGCAAGGTTTAAGGCCGATTACGGAAGGCGGGGTTCCCAAAAGACCACGCTTCTCTCGACGACGTTTAGGAAGCACTGCTGTGGTTAGCGGCCTTTTCTCCTGACAGACCCGACTGAACGGCAGCATCAGCCACAGAGAGACATTCCTAAACGCAACTTCACGTTTCAGAAAACAGTCTTCCACCAAGTGAGGAGCACGTAGACTTCTGATCGCCATGGGCACGTACGCCCCTCAGAAGGTGGAAAATCCAAACTCGCTCCCCACCTGGGTTCCCCGGAGAACAGGGAAGCCGAGTCCCCACGCGCCCTCCCGGCCCCCTCGCCAGGTGTGCGGACCGCAGGCTG